TGCCAGTGCCCTCAGACACCCGAAAGGAGCAAAGCCAAGTCAAGAAGCCTGGGCTTCTCTTCGTCCCCTCAGGTCAGAGGTTCTTGACGAGGGTGCCCCAGCCACCTGGGCCCTCAGATGGGAGACAGGTATGCAGGGGTCAGTCCCGTCAGCATTCAAGGTGTCCCGGGGCGGTTGGAGTCCTTTGGGCCACTCTCCTCCAGCCCTGGCAGTCTCAGACACTTCCCAAAGTGGAAAGTGTTAGGAAGCCCTGAGGTGGATGCTGGGAGCCTTAGGAGGATTTTAGGTCTGGGAAAGATGAGCCCACGCCACGCTGGTGGCTACATGGACAATGTGTCAGGTGGGGGAGGCGGGCGAAGGGGCCAGGTGTGGACAGTGGGGCTGGAGCATGAACGGATAAGAGGGTTTTGACTTGAAATTATTGAGGAGGTGGAATTAAAGGAATTAGATAAAGGTGGCGTGGGTGGGGGGGAAGAGAGAGCGAGCGAGCCCTTAGGTCTGGGTAACTGGATGCTCTTCCCACTGCCTGGTAGAGCTGATGTGTGTGAGGAGGCTGGGCTGCCACATGCGTGTGACCTCTAAATATGCACCACTTTACCCTGCAGGAAAGTGGCCTTTGGACCTTTTACTACGGGCTGAGCAACCCACTGGGCTGGAGACACGTAGGAGGGATGGGTAATGGAGAAATATGCTAAGGCAGGCTTCCTGGGAGAGGATGGCCTGCCCCTGTTCCTTTTCTCAGAAGCAGAGGTTGCTGGATGGACACAAAGCCTGGAGACCTTCTTCTTGAGGTTTCTCCTGACTCTTATTCACAGTCATCTAATTCCACGGCAGGAAGTTCTTGTGAGTGACTTCCATCTCTCCAGCTGCCTCTGAGTCTCACTCCCCAGGGATACTCATTTCCACCCGCTGCGCTCCTGATCTCGGCAGCCGCCTACCTTTCCCTATCTTACCCTGCCCATTTGCAAACTGTTACTGAGAGCGGCTGTGCTGGGCACCGGTGACCCATCTCTGAGCCAAGTTGCTCAGTTGGCCTGAGGAGGCAGACATATCAAGAGACAATTCCAGGCCAGTGTGACAGTCCCCACATACTGACCTGGCCTCAGCTGCAACCTCCTGCAAATACTGTACCCAAACTCAATCCTCTGCAGATGATCCAAAGAGGTGGCTGGGCCGGGAGGCCAGAGCTTTGGGTTTTGGTCCCAGCTCTGGTATTGAGATACTGGGCCTTTTCTGGGCCTCCATTTCCCATCCGCACAATGGGCATAATAGGAGCACGTATTACTAAGTGCTTAAAATTTCCTAGGCACTGTGCTAAGAGCTTTTCATGGATTATATCATGAGGCTCTTCACTTCCTATTTAATGAATTCATCTGAATAAAGCATTTATTTAGCACAGTGCCTGCTACATAGTAGGCACTCAATAATATCACCCCTGGTTTACAAACCTGGAAATTGAGGCTGGGTTAAATAGTTCGCCTAAGGTTACAGAACCAGTCAGTGGCAGAACAGGGATTTGAAGCAGGTGGCCTGGCTTCAGTGTTCGGGGCCCATATCAACAGGAGTTCACTGCCTAGTCGGGGATCCTGCCCCACACGCCAGGGTTTGGGGACCTCTGGGAGGGTTCTCAGGGAGATCAAACTAGGTCAGGATCATGAATGCTAGGAGGCCTGAAAGGCTGGGACTGAGATTATTCCAAATGCAAACAGTTTGCACAGCCCTGGCTGGCTGGAAGGACCATCAACCATCAACCAGGTGCTTTCCTCTACAGGGATGCCACATGATAGAGGTGGGGGGACTCTGGAGAAGGGAATGTTGTCATAACAACCCACCTAACACTGCTCCCCCACCCCACATGCTTGACTATAGCCTGGGGGTCTGAGAAAGGTGAGTGTTGTCCCCATTTGTCATTTTGGGGGACCAAGGAGAAAGGGGAGGGAGAGCCATCTGGTCTTGGTGGTCTTTCTAAGGTCAACACAGAATATACTGTGCTGATGACATCGCCCTCATTTCCCACAGGGAGCTCCCTGGGTGGGGCCCTTGGCTCTGAGTCCTCGGCTCCCAGCACAGGGCCTGGCACAGAGGAGGGGCTCAGTGAAGGTTTGTTGACTGACACTGACTGACTGACTGAATGGGCTCGCCGCACCAGCCTCCTCGCTGGTCTCCCTTGTGTCCTGTTCTGTACTCTGCTCACGTTCCTCCACACTATGGCCTCAAGGATGATGGAACACACATCTGACCCTGTCACTCCCCTGTGACCCATCCATAGCTCCCCATTGCTCTGCAGATAAAGTCCCCACTCTCAGCCTGGCATTCAAGGCCCTTCCTTGTCAGGGCCTTGCTTTCCCCCCATGAGCCCTTATGCTTCTGCTCCAACAGGTTCTTTGCAGTTTCTTTTCTTTTCCTTTCTTTTTTCTTTTTTTTTTTTTTTTTTTTTT